GGGGGGGGGGTGTACAAGCGGACCCGAAGGACAAGTGTCTGCTGCTTTATCGGCGACACCCGACAAGTAAATACGTTGTATCCAGCTAATGCAGCGTCCCCAAAGTGAGAACCAGGAAAGAAAAAAACACCGAAACAATGATGAACATGATCTAAAACATCGACCTTCATATCACACATGGGAATAGGATAAATCGTTTGCCTTCATCAACATACATTTTTAGTAATAAAAGATAATATATAGGCGCATCTCATTAATTATACAATACACGTTGTCTCAGGTTTTTATTTTTTATTATGGCAACTTCGAAAGTAAACTGCATCCCAATCAACCCCAGGGAATTCTATAAAATTGAAGCCATTTGTAAAGTGTCAATGGGTATTGTTTATCTTTATATATATGTTTTAATATTTGCGCTGCATCCCACTATATGAGCATTACCAGCAGAAATGCATTTCATTTTAGTATGGAAGCAAAAACTCTCGTGACGTAACACATGGTTCACTTATGACGACGTGATAGATTAACCTTGTTCAATGAGAATGTTGTCGCTTTGCTTCGGATAACATGAAGAATGCCCCTGCGTCACTAGCTCAAACGACTACGGTAACTTATTTGCGCCATTTCTATATGATTAGGGCTGTTCCGAAAATGTCGTTTAAAGGACAACTCGCATACAAGACGCAGTAAATAGATATTCAAGAACAAATAACAAAAACTACCAAATCTTCTATAGTAAAAATGTAAATATATGGGTTGAACGGCGTTTTTTCAATTTTCATGCCGTTATGAACGCAAATCAATTACATCCATATTAAACATGAAGCCAATATGGATGTAACCGATTTGGGTTCATACCTGCATGGAAATAAAAAAAACGCCGTTCAATCCCTATATGAATGAGCAATTGATATTTGAATTATTTTCTGTAATGCGGAGGAAATAATACAAAACAATTACAGATCCATTGATTGTTTTGTCATTTTGTGAACAATGTGTATTCATTTTTGAGAAAAATATAAAGGAACTTTTTTAAAATTTGAAATTGTAAATCTTTAAAATCAGGAAATATCTCTCACATATCAATCAGACAGGTTATCCCGACATTTTGGATAACTAAAGCAACGCTTATCATGTACCATTGCAGTTGAGAAAGATATCTAGTGAATACACAACTTACGCAAATACATTTACGACGTCTGATCTAAATGCACAGTAAATTAGAATTAAAAACGTCTACACCCAATGACAAAACTAATCACAATATCAGAAGAAAATTTACAAAATAAATAAAATATAACTCAATCACATAGAAAAGAATGCACTACACAATAGCGACAACAACTTTCAAGGGCTAAGCATACATCAAAACATGGGGCAAAACATGGGGGAAACATTTTAAACATCATCGTCAACGTACAATGATGAAATATACAACTGCGTTAACACACGTGGACGAAAAACATAATAGCATCAAAACGTAGGGACAAAATAAACAATAGCATCAAAACGTAGGGACAAAATAAACAATAGCATCAAAACGTAGGAACAAAATAAACAATAGCATCAAAACGTTATTTTTAACTTTTAATATATGAAGACAGGACAACAACAAAATAATCAATGTTAATCGATATATTAAAACCTGGTGCGAATAGTTCTAACAGCATACATCATTGCACGAATAAATAAATAAAAGTCTATTCCGATTTTTTTATTACCCCATCTTTGTTGTTCCTCAAATGCTGACGTTAAAGGCATTGTTAATGTTGGTGTCAATTTTGGCAGGTTGTATTGTGACGTCATAATGTATTATGACGTCATCACTTTCTGTGTTGAGTTGTTGTCCTGACTACACAAATAAACAGTACCCCTAATGAGCCTCTACAGAGATGAAAGCGCTTGATAGTTACTAAGAATTTCTTGTCAATTGATTTTTGTTTATATTTAAAAATTGAAAGGACTTTGGATGTTTTTCCCTCGGTATCATTATATGTTCAACTTAACTAATGCACATTTGATAACATGTTTTGATTTCATTTTCTTTAAATGATATTTAAAATAATTGGAAAAATACTTTATTAAGTGACTTTTCAGTTGTGAAAGTCTTCAGTGCACTATAGCCTTCTGAAAAGTCTCATTGCTAAATATAGTTACATTAAATTTAATTGCAAATTATTTCATTTTTTGTTTAAAATCATTAAAAGGAATACGCATGTAATCACGCAGTGATTTTCTGTCATTTCAGTTGGGTTTTTTTGACAATTGTTATTACGGATGTTGTGAAACAGACTCATAATAGCACGTGTGCGAACTATTTCTATTGAAGAATTTAGTAGACCAACGTATAGCTATTTCCCAATCAAAAGAGCTTTTTATAAGTGTCAACCTTTGTACCTTTATTATGTACTTATCAATAGATACAACGCTATCATATATTGAAGATTGTAATAACCTACAGCATGAATATAAACGTATTCATTGTCCCTGATCACCTAAATGGGTCTTGGTATACACCCGTATTGTTAAGATTAAAAGTATAGGAATCGTCGTGAGCAAATTAATGTCGACTTGTTATTGCAAAGAAAAAAATGATGGTGTTATTCAAATCGATTGAGTGCCGGTTGGTATTTAATATTATTTTAAGATTTGTTCATCGACCAATACACCGTTTGTGATTTAGACATGATCAGGACTATCACAATAGTTCATTGCATAATCTGATTTATGTTGGTATCACAAGGGTAGTGACGTCACAATCTCGAAAATTATAGAACATTGCGTCCTTCTTCGTACAATTTAGAAAATATTTTGTTTGAAATATCATATACCTTTTTCGAAATAAAACCATATGTTAAATGATCATGTATGAAATTACCACTTTATGCTCAGTTACGCTCAAAAGAGAAAATTACAGACCTGTTTGGATAATCACTTTGAAGAAGGGATGAATTATGAATAACGAAAAACAAACATTACATGGAAATCAGAAGCTAAAAGAACAAAAATAAGTCAGCAAGTTTAATAACAGCAAATGGGTCTGTGGTGGGTGCAGTTTTGTGACCTCACAACTTCATAGGGTCTTTGACTGCTTGTGAAGTTTTGGTTGTATAGGGTTTTACGTGCGTCCTATCAACAGCTTAGATCGTTTAAGTACGTGCCTCCATGCGTGTTGTGTATGCCTGTATGTGTGTATGTGTGCCGGACAATGTATGCTGGTGTATTTGCCTCCTTGTGCTAGTGCGGATCTGATGCCGACGTTATAGTGCTATCTTACTACAATTCAATGCCAAAGGCACCCAGCACAGCATTCCACCCGGTCACAATTTACTGACAACGGGTGAACTAGTTGTTTTCATTTCCCTAAATGCTGAACGTTAAGCTTGGATAACACTAGAACAACTACAATTTACAATAACTTTGGTATAGACCGACCTTGGGACAGACCACCCAGTGCTTGAACATTAAAGCCACAAATTAGGTGTTGCCTAGCAAGGCGCTTGGAAATATAGTAACAATGTCGATTTTTAAGGTTCAAAGTCCAATTACAAATAGAATCTTAATATGTGATAATCTTAATTCGTTTCCATTTCACATAACTTCATGAATCTTCTCCCAATACTTAATTGTAGCTTGCCAGAGTCTTGCTAAAAGTATTTTTCTATATTCATTTTATGAATTACAAATGAAGTAGAAATCGTTTCAGATTGTAGTATAATAGGCTTTGACTTAGACGGGTTATGTTGCATTGTGGAATTTGACTTAGAGAAGGATATTGTAGAATGGTAGAACTCAATTAAAAAAAAACATTTGCAAGGTAGAATTCGACTTAGAGAAGGATATTCTACTATGAAAGATCATTTGTCTTAAGCAAAAACAAATATGTATGTTTCATGTACCCAGACCTACTCTAGTTTTTAACACCGATCCTAACCATTTTATCTCATTCGAACGCACCCCACCCAGTGTTAGGATAACCTGTCGACCGGTTTTAAACAAATTTATTGACGAACAATATTTATACCCTGTCTACTTCATAGGCAGGTATGAACCACATTTAGATCCAAAGTTATTATTAAAAAGACTTGAAAATATGATTGGTAATTATTTTTTAATTTCTAAAATTAGAATTAGACTCCCTCAACATTTTTTAAAACAACATCCCCCGACCTACCCTATATTTTCAGTAATGTTATCCAAAACTTGGCCTAAACTTGGCAGATACTAGAGAAGGATAGAGCAGAATGATCGAATTCGACTAAAGAAGGCAAAGTATAGCAAAGTATAGTTAGACTTTGAGAGGATATTTTAGTATGGAAGAACCTTCGTCTTAAAATTGAACTTATATTGAAGTTAAACCTTTTCTTAAGTATGCAAAGTTGAAATTGTAAAACACATTTGTTCCAAAACACTTCTATGGTGCTTTTGTTTTACTGAAACTCACACCCTTTTCAAATACGGTACCAAAATAACATCAAGCTGTCTTACATTCACTTCGCATTTTAAATATACCGTAAACCGCATATTGACACTGAGAAATACATCAGATGATAACACACGACATTGGATCAATAAAAAAAGTAATTTTAACACAGAGTAGTTTATAACACATACTAAAAAATTCCCATATATTTACCGTTTTTAAACATGTTCACAGAGAGTAAACGAAACGTTGTCATTTAAATACATGTTTTACTTTCTGTCGAAATACTTAATCATGTCTATATTATGTCGATCTTTTGTGAGCCTATATTAATTGTTTCCCTCTGAGGTCTGTTCACCAAGTGATTGTTTTTATTTGTATTGTCATTCAACGTACATCATATAGCACGGACACATGCTATCTCTATTTGAGCTTACATATATTCATAGTTATCGCGGTGTTGGGGAATAACGGATTTATCTATCTTATAAAGCACGTGTTATAGCTCGACCAATGAGATTTCACTCGTATTATCATTATGGGAAGCAGCATCGTTCAGGGGTTTTCCAAAATTTCTTCTTAAATATCTGCAACAAAAGTCACAAATTTCATATTACATTGCCCTGACACCAGGTAACATTCGAAATATCACACTTATTACAGTAAAAGAGCCAATATAAAAGCGCAATGAGTAATCAAATCAACATTTATAATTTGAACGCTGCCAGTCACGACTTCGAGGGCGAAATTCATTTACATCACAAATGCGGTTCTGTACAGAAGAGATACACAGTCAAAGGACATATCGTTTATTTTCTTTTGCGGAAATGTTGCTGCACGGCATTCTACGAAGACGTGACTTATATGATTCCTGAACAAATTGGGCAATTTCCAAGCAATGGAGTGAAACTGACCACAGACCCAAACCTAAGAATTCAGGGCGAAGAATTTTGGAATGGACGTATGGGACAAAAACAATACAAACTAAAAGTGATTCATGGGTATACGCAAGCGAGTAGATCAGCAATGCCATCACATGCATACTGAGGTAATTTTTGAAATGGAGACAGTTTATTGATTTGTTGAAGGGTCTTAATGAGTGATTAATAAGTACCTATCATAATTCATAAATTATATATATTACTTAATTTGATAGGCGCATATATTGTAAAAGCGAGAAAAACTTCTTTTTTTTAAATATAAAAAAGAATTGCTTAAGTAAATACAGAATCTTTTTATGTAAATAGTTTAAATTGATATAAGGCAAATGTTATCCTCCATTAACACTTTCTGTTTTAAACGAAATTGTGTGTAATTCAATTCACAAACCTGATATTAACAAATCAGTCACTCATTCTGACATAAACTTAATCGGTTAATGTTTCATACTGATTTTTAAGCATTCCGAACATTTGAATTACAGTTCGGTATATAACACAGAGATAAGTAGATACGCTTTGTTGATGAAACATTATGAACATGTATTATGCAGCTTCTTTAATGTTTTTCATAAATGCTTCAAATATTTTTTAAACTACATGCTTTATACACATATCAAACCCTTAGAGATGGAGCTTACTTAAACATACAACCGATATCCTGCATAGTATTACAACAAGACATTGCGATAACCATTTAGAAATAGACTGTATCTACGAATGCCTTGATATAATTGTGATTCTCTTATGTGTTCCTCCCCAAGAATTGTAACACTATTGATTTTTTTCTATTTGTAGTAATATCCAACACAAATGTAAATAGCACTTATACATTATGTACTTAGAGATGTCAGGATATTTATAGGTGGTATGATTGGACCAATCAGATTTGCCGTTTATGATATTTTTTTCACGGAATGACACGTATGCTTCATCCTAAAACATTTTTATTTAAATACTTGCAACAAACATTTCATACCTGGGCATTCTATTCATATTGTCAACACCTTGTAATAGAGCAAATATCGGTTTATTATTTACCAAGGGATAAGACGTGATTTAAACAAAGATGAGTTCAGTAAAACTAGACAATTACTTAGAACGGAGAAGCGAAGACTTTCAGGGTGAAATACATCTTTCGCGGAAATGCGGTTCAGTTATTAAAATGCGAGAAACCATATTTGATGAGGAAGATTACAACATTTACTGTATACTACGAAAATGTGTATGTGGCGAGTATAACGATAACACTGACTTGAACGTTTATGTTCGCATGCGTACTATTCCAAAAGATGGAGTTATCTTAACAACCGATCCATATACAAGGATGGTAGGGATAAAACGATGGAATGAAAATGGGGAAAAAGTGTACATATTTGAATTGCAAGAATATTCTGGTTCAACTCAGACATACCAACGTTAAGTGCAGAGAACAAACATGAAAAGGTATTTAAATCAGATTGATACATTACGAAGACATAAAAAAAGCTATATGAAAGCAAATGTTCTTCTCTTTTCTGTTAATGCATCTTAAAAGTTTGGTTATCTAATTTATTACATTTTCACCAGTAAAATTTCAGGAATTATCCCTTTGTAAAAACAAAACTTCACTGCACAGAAGATAAACGTAATGTTATACATGTATATTCACATGTAAAGATATCATTTTTTGTATTGCCCAATAAAAAATACTTTCTATACACTGGATAGATTTTTCGATTTTTCATTCAGATGAAGCGACGCCAGAATACATATTTATTTCGGGACAACTTTGAAATATGCGTTATGGTATTTGCATGACTAAACAATTGATATAATTTTATTTGAAAATCTTATAAGATAATTGCAGCATACGAAAGAATATTGCGAAAAGTAACCAATTTAGAGCTCTGGCTTGTCCTGTCACGGCCTTAAAATTCGGGCGTCAAATATTATTCTACTGATACCTGTACTCTTCTGATGTAGTAATATTTGCGTCGTGCCATTTTTAAAAATGCTCTCGTTGAATACTTTTAACATTTCACTCGGTAGGTAGAATACATTTTTATTGATATTATATATCGATATTTTGTCAAACTCGTGAAATATATTGACATTCAACGGGAAAACGTTAATTATTCCCTTTTTAATTGATGAATATATCAGTATATAAAAATGCATGTTTAATGCATTTTAGAATGGGAAAGGGTTTTGCTGCCATCAAATGCTATTGAGTTTTTCGAAATGAAACTAAAAAGACGCCGGAAAGTTATAGTTTTATTGATAGCCGAGCTAGATTCTATATTGACATTAGGAAGACAAATGAAACCGACGGAATACTCTAACACTGCTGCATAAGCAAGGAAGAGTTATGTCCCCTTACATAAGTATATTTAAAGTAGAAGGGCATATTTTTTCTCTGAAGTTCTTCCCTCACACATCTTAAATGTTCGTGCGTTGCAATAGAAACCAGTTTATCAATGTTTCATGGAAGTATTTAAATCAATAACTTATTACTTTTTTATTCAATAATCCAGAAAAGAATGGTTCAATTTGGAATGATTTTAAGGGCAATATCAATTAATGTAAAGTTCAATCAGATGACGTGTTGACGTTTTCATTAGATAAAATAGTAGGTTTTAGGTTTTTAGTATTATGGTAATACTATGATTTGTGCTTAAATAAGATTTGTGTTTAAGTTAAATGTATCAATATGTAGTTGTGTGTGATAAGTTTAACGTCATGAGGTAGTATTTGGATTAGATGTTATACATATTTCGGCTTTGATTGTTTGAATTGCTATAGTGGTTGTTTCAATGTCAATGTAAAACTGGTATTAAAAACAGGTATGATGTAAAATTCTTTCTTCTGTGTATATGAATCAATGACTAAATGGGTTTCTCAATTTTTCATATTTTGCAGATTTCGTCGTTATTCAAAAAAAAGAACAAAATAAATCATCATCGATTTCCATCTTCATTGAACATTTATAAGAAAACGGCGATACCTTGGGAGTGGAAGCTTTCTCGGTATGACGACGGAAGCAACAAGACCTTTATCCTGACCAAAGAACAAATTTCATCCTAGTGTGTTATCATCAGAAGGACAAAACAGCCCAGAAAAATAAAAAAAAACTTTCTAACATACCGTACATGATATTTTATTTGTGTTCAACACATTTAAAGGTTACTGAGGGGAAGAAAATACAAGAATTTTAATATATATGATGTGACTTTATATAATAAAAGTTCAGATCGCTTATGAATGAGTTGTCTTTGATTTTCCTTCATCCATCAGTAGATGTTATTTCACAAATTATTGTACTTAATTCATGTTTAATAACCTGACTTTTTTGTGAAATGAATATATGAGTTATATAACGGTAAAATACAGGTGGTCCTTTAAGATTTGGTACCACATGTAGGATCCTTCAGTCTTTAAAATTGTTTCCCATGATATACAAAGTATTTTGGTCAATTTAATTGGCGTCTGCTAACTTTTGTTGATTCTAAGCCCAACACTACAACCTTATTTTATAAGATAAATATACCTCCGTGTTATAGAACAACTGGTCAATCATAAAATATTATAGAGTAAGTTAATAATAATTCATTAGCAAAATCAGAGAACACTGGATAAGCTATAAAAGCTGGATCATCTTGATAAAATGTTAAAAGCAGCATTGATACTACTCCCCCTACAGTTTGATTAAAAACACAAAAGAAACCAAACCAGGCAGAAAGCAAAAGAAATCGAATAAATACTAAAACAATTAGGTTGTACATCATGAGCACAAGCATGTTGCCAAGGGATTATGGACAAGGTTTTTTTAACAAAAAAGAATTTGTTTAAATGACATTAGGCATAAATAATGCGTCTTTCCAAGTAACAACAAAATTACGTTGAAAAGTAAAAAAAAATAATTAAACAAAGCTTTTAATTTTTTACATCGGATTTGTATATCTAACACAATAGTAAACGATTGTTTTTATAATAGTTAGATAAAAATAGGAACACGTAATGGAAATACCCAACTATCAGTTTACCCGGAACAAAATCGACCGGTACACCAGCATATTGTCCAACGCAAAAATGTAGGACGAGTCTGAGAAAGGTATAATAAACCCAAACATTCATTTCGTTCCTAAGCGATTAAAAGGGGAACTGGTTGAATAAACTAAAATGGTAGCAACAGTAGTAATTGTTGGATTTTCGGTTTTTGGAGGAATAACTCTGATTGGTGTAATGATTGGATGTATTTATCTATGCCACAAATATGATTCGAGGCCTCATTTCGGGAAATCTTGCGACCCGAACTGATACAGTAAATCATGTACTTCTTGCTTTGCTCATATACCAAATGTAAAAGTCTTGTATTAATCTTCATTTCTTTTAATTTACACAAACGTTATTTTGATTACTACTGTTGTGGCAATCAATAGGCTAATATTCCGTATAATGGGATATCTATACCTGATGTTTAAGATTGTAACAAGATACTATACCGACCAACTTCGAAAATTAGCACGCTTATTCACATTTTAATATTACTTTTGACGAGATTGATACAATACTTCATCAACATTTAATACTATTGTATGAACCATTCACACTGGAAAACAAAGGAAAGGATTTGGTGTTTATGTGGGGTTGTTTTTACTGTTTCATAGCTTTGTAAAAAATATTTTAAGAGTACAAATGGTACAACACATACACTGTTGTGACAACGATATAACTGACGTTTAAGGTTGTCACATAATAAAAAATCCCGAAATAACTTTAAAGATTTGTACGCCTATTCACATGTACGTTTTGTATTCTTTAGTGAATAAATGGTGTATATTATCACAAAACGATTTTGTTAAGATATCATTCGGGTTGTCTATTCATACCTTAAAGCATGCCTAATAAGGTATGTACCATGGCTATGCATGATTATTCAATGATTACGCCATAAGTAAAGTAAGCCGAATATCAAACTATGAACTAGAAATATAGACTGTATCTTCAACAAACTTCTGAGCTACGTATTTAGGTGCAGTATGATTCCTTAAACAGCAGCATCAAACACTGGAATCAATTTTACAACTTTGAAATTAATTAGACAACTCAAGAATCAATAAAAAAGCTCTGGAATCAATGAGTCATGAAAATTTCGGATGAATTTCCTTTATTTGTTCGACAAAAACAACACCATTTTTCACATGTGAAACTGTTTTCATTAAATAGTAAATGACTGTTGTGACATTAATAAGGGATAATTACAACAACAAACAAATCTATGCTAGTTATTGATACGATTTCATTACGTAAAAAGATCCTTGTTCTGTTATGCCATTTGCTACCCTATAATAGTGGTCAATTTTGCAGTTATATTTTTCCTGGTTGTCAGAACCAGTTTTCGGGGGTTAAATTTCGCGCAACAGTGTGAGATAAAAATCGCACCGTGAGGGTATCTTTGGGTCATGGTGATGGAATTTATTTGTTTAAAAATTACATAGTAAATTGTTGATTTATTGTTATTATTCGGCACGCTGTAAAAGGATAGACAGGTCTGTTTTTTATCTTTATGTTAATGGTGATAATTTTTACTGGGTATCTTATTTCACGATATCTTTGGTGACCGCGAATATAGCAAATAATTAAATCCCCTGCAACATTTACCAGCCATACAGCATGTAATAAGAAAAGTAAATATTTACACTGGAAATAAAACGAATACAAATACTTAAAATACTTTTAAACACGTGACATTGGATGGTATTACGATGTACATGTTGCATGCTAAACGCACAATGTTACCTTGAAGCGAAACCCATTCTTGAAAGTCTTACGGTCACTGGGGAAAATAGGCATAATCCTAACTATTGTATCAGTACAGTGTACTTTATGTCATACCAGCCATTTGGATTTATTTCGTTCCGTAATATAGATAAAAAAAAATGTTCGAAATCACGCATTTATGCAGAGAGAAGTGCACAACCAGGCAAACGATTGTTAAATTACACAGTTGTGCGCACCATGTGTCGACGATGTGTGTACGATGTGCGCACGCTTTGTTGGTGCGTTCTGCAGTCACACGACTGTATCGTGTATCATGGCAGATTTCGACGCTAAAAGGATATTACATTACAGTAAGGTAGAGCGTTCGACTTACAGATGGACAGTGTAGTCATGTATAATTCGATTTAAAAGGTATAGTATTGCATGGTATAATTCGACAAAAAGTAGTATATAAGAACATTTAGTAAATGCTATGCAAATAAGTCATCATTATAGCCACTTTAAATATAATTCGTCTAAAATTGATCTTATATGGAGGTTATACCGTTTTTAAAGTATGCAAAGTCGAAATTGTAAAACATGTGTTTTCACTGAACGTTGAATGCGTGACTCCAGGTTACTTTTTTGGTCTATTTTTCTCCAGTAAAGTGTAGGGGTTCAACACCATTGTACAAAACTTAATAGATGTCTTCATTTGCTTGTATTATTCCAAAATATTTCTATGGTGCTTTTGTTATATTGAAACTCACACCCTTTTCAACTACGGTACCAACATAACATCGAGCTGTCTTACATTG